ATATCACAATAAAAGCTCCACATCTCCATGCTTGCATAGTAACATCCCACAAAGTACACAGAGAAAGAGTTTACGTTGCAAGGGATATTTCTTCACAGTTGTCCTGTCCTTTACAGATACCAATGTATACTGGACAATTACAAGAGCAACGTGGAGAAAACGCACAGTGGAAAGTGTTCCACGGATTAATGACTCCCATTAGTCCTGGATGGAGAGCAGTATGCTTCCCCAATCTCGCTCTATATAGAAAAAGACCAATGTTTCTCTATTTTAAAGTCCACATCCTGAAAATATAATCCATTGGGCCAGGGAGATTCAGCCCCAAACTGGATCCAATTCCCAACCCTGGTGTAGAACATGTTACACAGAACTAGAGTAGGAACACAAGGAAAGGAAGCCATCAATATGCTAAGAATAATCATCTGATGCAGCCATCTTGTGAACCTACCAATCAGCCACTCAGAATTGCTTATGATTTGAGGTACAATTAAGCCTAGTAAAATAAATAGAAACATAAAAGTTTCTCTGGAGAGTGCATATCTAAATATCCTCAATAAAAGTAGGCCTTGTGTGGACGGCAATTGGGACTGGGATTCCTGTCACTGAACAATGTAATAATAAAGTATGACATACAGGATCTCATTGCTAAGCAATCCAGGCAATCCCTGTTGCCATCATAACTCCAATAACCGTTAAATAGGAATTTGAAATAAGGAGCTCGGGGTATCACAGGTGCTGGCACAGCCTATCTACAAGTTGGGGAAAGGGGGGCGACAATGCAGCTCAAATGCAGAGAGGCTGAGGTAAGGAGAGTATGATATGCCGGGGAGGGGGGTGGTGGAGTTACCTGAGTGAATGCAACCTTCCCTGCCAACTTCCCCAGCTTGTGGGAAGATAGCAGGGAAGGTCGCCAATGGCAATCACGTGACCGCAAGATGCTGCAACTGTCGTAAATTGCGAGCTGCTTGCCAAGTGCTCAGATCATAATCATATGTCCGTATGTGGACACTGCAATAGCTGGAACTTTGATGACCAATCATAAGCACACGTCTAATGCTGTCCCAGTTCGGTTGCTGGACAAATAGTCTTGGCAAGCAAAGCTACCAATAAAAAAAAATCGGCTAAATGTAAATGGAAAATGGATTTTTATCCAATCTTTAGCACGTTCTATCTTCATGAAGCCCTATTAGACAGGGGATGCATACCCTACATTTAACTTCACCACATCCTGCAACCTGGTGCTTCCACGAATGCAGTAGCATCTTATACTACCTGCGTTTCTCATGCTTAGAAATGCTTTCTATGCACGCTTATTTGAATGTAGGTCTTATTGGTGTGACTTGCTTTTAAGTAAACATGCATAGCAGCAGGTTACTGTAGACTGCAGTCCTCCAGTCTTATGCCTGGACCCAAGGAAATATTAAACAATCCTGTATCGTATTTTTAACTAAAATGCCCAATGTATTTTTAAAAAAGTGTGCAAAGTGTTATCAAGAAATCAGTACAACGTTGTCTTAAATTTTTAAGAAGACTGTAGCAACAAAAGCACCTGGGATGTTTCAGATTTATTTCTCTAGATATAATGTACATTTTTTCAGCTATTTGTAAAGAGATAATATGTAATAAACTGAAACTTATATTTTAAACTTGGATGAAATTACTGCGCCAATAGAACACCCACTGCAGTGAGTGGCCGAATTTCAGTATTAATAAATAGTTGGTTTTTTCGTTATACGAGTTAGTACAGTTACTATTCCTAAAAAAATTTTTTTATGGGGTGGGAGTGTGTATCTTTCAGGAACATGTCGTCAGTCATGGGAACCCTTCTATCGAACCTTTAGTCAATATTTATCGGGAACTGAATTCTCACCAGTGAATATCTAGCAAGTTTCAACGTTACTTGTGGGCTCCCCCCGCCCAAAGCTACTTACTACTTTTATACTTATAACTTGAGGACTACCTGTAATTATCTTTCTACTAAATATTCAAAAGATCTGTAAAACTTGTTAAATAGATATGAGGTTATAGATGCGTTGTTAGCCCAATTTAGGTCAAGAAACCTTGAGCTGCAGCGTTCCCAACAGTGGCTGTCCTGTTTCTGAAGATCTTCTGAAGGATAGCAAAAGTCTTTGTCCTCTTTTATATAAGAGCCCCTTCAAGGCTGTGAATATGTTCTTATTTTTATTTTATTTTTTAAAAAATCATTCTAGCTGCCCACTCCAGTAGACTCTTGAGTGGTTGTAACTGTTGCTTTGGAATATATACCACCACGAGAGTAGCTGCTGTTTGAAAGATTTGAACTGTTCAAAGTGGGTCTTGCACAATGTTTGTGCTAAATAGAAATTGTCAGAATGCCATAAACCAAGATAATGGAAAATTAAAAGTTTCCCATTTGTCCATAACATTTGGCCAGTACGTAGCAGGCGGTATGGGCTATTCTCACCCATAAGCAATACATCTGTCAGATTAGAATACACTGCCTCCATTCTGGTTCTTACTAAGAATCTGTAATGTTATTCCACTTCCTTTAAAGTTTGGAAGATTGCTGTCTAGGTCTGGTCCTCAGCAACTGGAAATTTTGGCGTAGCTTTTATTTGCTTATATGCCGATAGACAACAGGAGTCACTTTCATCTCTCTATTAGCTCCAGCTGCACGAGGGTGTAGAGGAATCTCCTCATCCTCCATCTGCTGTTTAGCAAAATTTACAAAAACCTGTGGGAGAAAAGCAGAGAAATGTACAGCAAGAACTATCCTAGGAAGCTAAGTTCTGATACCAATTGGGATGACAAAAAATAAAATAAAATGACAAAATGCGTCACAACAAACCCTGGCCTTTTATATTTGCATCCTGATTATCTGATGCAATTACATTAGTCATGGGGTTTGTGTTGTGATGTCACGTCATCTGCTCCTCTACAGACCTTTAGGGGAGGAGATAAATCCAGAAGCTCTCCAGAAAGTTAAGAAGATTTGGGTGAAAAAAACTGTCTTAACTATTTCATTCACTTTAATCTGACCAAAGTAGTAGTATGCTAAGTTAGGGTGATTTTGAAAGCTGGCATACGTAACAAAACCTTTTTCTGCCAACAAATGTATTTATTTATTTGTTCAAGAAAATTTATAAAGCAGCCTACTTGCTTGTGGCGACTCTAGGCGTCTTACTGAAAACGTAGAAGAAATAAAAATAATAACAAAATAAAAAAATAATAATAAAATAACCCCCCACTGTCCCCTCAGCGACCACACACATCATCTCAGCATTTAATGGGCTCCATCCAGTGGTGGGATTCAAATATGTGAACAACCGGAAGTCCATTCTGGGCCTGGGCAACAAAAAATTAGCTGTCGGTTCTGCCAAACTGGTGTGAACCGGCTGAATCCCACCACTGGCTTCATCCCACTCTGGGTTCCCCAGGCCCACTGGCAAAACCACGTCTTCAGGGCCTTCCAAAAGAGTGTCAGAGTGAGGGCCAGTCTAATTTCTGGAGGGATGATGTTCCAGAGGGAGGGAGCCACCATGGAGAATGCTCTTCTTATGGCTATAACCAGATGTACCTCCTTAGGGGAGCGTATCCCTTCCCTTTATAAGTCCACATTAAATCCAAATAAAGGTAGTATAAGCAGCAAATGGATCACTATTCTACGGAGACAGAGAAATCCCAAACCAAACCAAACCGTGAATATGTGAAATTCCTTTGCAACTACAAAAAATGTTAGAAAGATAAGTGCTGCTGAAATGTCTATAAAAAGTAGACCCACTGGACGTGACTCAACTGCACTTGCAAATAAATGAACTTCTGCCCCAAAGTGGGAAACTGAATTACCTCAGTTTCTAATATACAGTACTGAAATGGTTTCTGTAGTTGGGCTGTTCACGTTCACTGAGTGGAAGATTCCCATTTTCAGAATATTTTAATTTACCTGATCTAGGGTAGTTTGTGAGATAGAGTATTCTTCAATATTTAGGTTCTCTTTGTTGGAGAGAATCAATCTAAAGATCTTGGCCAGTGAGTAGGTACATATTTGGTACTGCAGCATGTTATAGTGCTTTTCTCTCTGTATCCCTCTTGGAAAGTTCTGGCACATAAATTGTTCTGCTTGGCTGAGATCTGGGAGTAATCCAAGTTTAGGTGCCTTGATTTTCATGGTAACGATGTAGCCATCTCCATATCTGTAAGATAGCCATGATTTATTAAGTTATATGTTTGTGCAGTAATATTCACATTTATTCTATAAAAAATTTCATAAAGAGAGCACATAATTATTAAATTACATACTTTCATAAATCCTTAACCATGAACATGAGATACCGATCTTCAGCTTACTTGTATTTGAGATCCTGGATGGTGCCCAGACATTTGAAGGTGCCTTTAGCCATGATAGCTATGCGTGTACAGAGCGCCTCACATTCTTCCATGCTTATAAAATGAGAAACACATTGCACTTTACAGTTAATATACAAAACAAGAATCTGTTTTCAACAAATGGATCTCCTTTGGTGACCGGTGTGGTTTTATTTACATTAATGAGAAAAAAAAACCTTAAGAAGACAGGAAGTGGGGAGACTAAATCCTTTCCTAACAATAATCAGCTCCATTCCCACCTCAGACTTTCAAGGCTAACTGATAAAAATGGAGAGCAAGTTGCAAACCCCCAGGAACAGCTTGCATTATCTTAACTGTGCTCTCAGAGCTAAGTCTTGCTATAAAAGAAGAAACTTGGTGAGCTGGGCTACGTTAAACTACAATTCTCTTGGAATTTCATCGTAGGGGACGTTTCCATTTTCTCATTGTTTTTTCTACCTATTCTATTTTCTCAAAAATAATTGATAAAAGGGTTGGAATGCTGTCGGTCATCAGTCTACAATATTTACATTTTAGCATTTACAAAGCTTTTCAACAAGCTTTTGCTGTACATTCCCACTATCTCATGGAATGTATATGCTGTTGTCTTTCATTTGGAGCATTCTCATGTTTAACCATGACCATTCTTTCTTGCTTGTTCTGCAAAGCTGTTTTTTTTTTAAAGAAACATGGCAAATAAAAAGCAGGTGCAAGTCATCTGCAAGGCTTCTAGAGGACAGTCAAGGCATTTGCGAAGACCAAAACACCTGTATTCTCCAAGTATTAGGTAGCCATTTCCCAAAGCTTTGGGGGCTGCTACTAGACCAGTGGTGGCGAACCTATGGCATGGGTGCCAGAGGCGGCACTCAGAGCCCTCTCTGTGGGCACGTGCGCCGTTGCCCCAGTCCTAGGCCTTCAGCTGGGTTTTATAAAACCTTTTCGCTTTAGGCCTCCTTTCGCTTTAGGCAAAAAAAAAAAAGGGGGTTCAATCAATCAGTCAATTTCAATTTCTTGCAGGGAAAAAAAAAGATCTTGCAAAGTTGGAATTGATTGATTGAACTTTTTAGTCCCACCCAGTCTGCCGTTACCACCGCAGCCACGCCCAGCCAATGGGCCACACCCACCTGGCATTCTATGATGCATAAGTGGGTTTTGGGTTGCAGTTTGGGCACTCGGTCTCTAAAAGGTTCGCCATCACTGTGCTAGACCAATTTTCCGATACTCTCACGTGATATGAAGACAATCCCTTCTCTGCTGCCTCCTACAGTGGATTAAAGATGAAGTAGGGAGCAGGTACGTTCCAAACTTAAACAAACTTAAATAAGATGCTGTTATTATATAATTTATATACCTGTCTGAAGCCATCTTAGAAAAACCTAAAACCTAAAGATTTATAATGCAGGACATAAAATTGTAATTTTCAAAAAGTAAAATAAGGAGACTGTAAAGTATAATTGTAATGCACACTGGACTGGACCCAGACAAACTGGAGTTCAATTCCCCATTCCTCTATCAAGCTAATTCAATGACTTGAGCCAGTCATTATCTCCCAGCTTAATTTATCTCAGCAGGCTTGGAGTGAGGATAAAATGCCAAGAGACAGTAACTGCTTGAAGGAAGGGCAGAAGTAAAGGCTTGGGGATCCTCCCTTCCCAGCTGAAATCTGAAATGGAGCAAATGAATCTGAATGAACTGTGAGCGATAACCAGGACGTATGATTCGATTTAATTTGATGGGAGCATGATTTACATTACCTGTGGGAGGTAAGAACCACAGCTCTTCCATCTCTGATCACACTGAAAATTGAGTTCCATAACAAGCGTCGGGACTGGGGGTCCATTCCTGTAGTTGGTTCGTCCTATGAGAACAGGAATGTAACAAGTAGTATATTTTCTCAAGAACAAATGGTGAAGCAGTTCCCTCACTTGTAAAAGAAGTAATATTTTCGGAGTTCCAGTTATTTGTTTGTTTGCATCCCACCTTTATTATGTTTACAGATAACTCAAGACTGAACATATTTCCTCTTTTGGGGGTTTAACATGCTTACTCTTGCATGTGCCAAAAAGTAACTTTTTCAAGGTCTGGATGCTATGTGTCTCATGCTTCAGAAGAAAACGTGTACCTCAGATATCAGAATTGTGTAAGAAGGCCTAGCTTATCAATGTTAATTGAGTAGAAGAAAGACAACACAAAAAGACTATTAACAGAATTTGCAAAGAGCTATTTCAAACCAAAAGTAACTATGGTGTAGAGCAGGGGTAGGCAATCTTGGCTCTTTTATGACTCGTGGACTTCGACTCCCAGAATTCCTGAGCCAGCTTGGCTGGCTCAGGAATTCTGGGAGTTGAAGTCCACGAGTCATAAAAGAGCCAAGGTTGCCTACCCCTGGTGTAGAGGAAGGATAGACAAAGCCTAAGGGTGGAGTCAAGAGCAGAATCAGTCTAGAGTTGATACATTCCTACAGGAGAGCTCAGTCCAACCACTCTTTAATTCTGTTGAACCTTAGATAATGCCAATTTAGTGCTGATAGGCATGAGCAACAAATCATCCTACCTAGAACTTAACGTGTGGTCCCGATTCTCCTTATTTGACACGTGGTGGGATAAAGTTTTGGATTGCAAAGGCTATTGAAGTAGATTTCTTCCTCAGTTTTTCAGAGCTGTTTTAGAAATTAATAGTTGCCTTCAGTGGTGGGATTCAGCCAGTTTGCACCACTTCTGCAGAACCGGTAGCTAATTTTTTGTTGCCCAGGCCCAGAATGGACTTCCGGAAGCGGCATCCACACAGAGAACCAGTTGTTCACATATTTGAATCCCACCACTGCTTACCTTATTGCAAAGCTACTTACTAGCAGGACTAAGGGAGGGCAGCCTATCAATGCAATAGCAGTGGAAAGTTTCCGTTTGGTGCCGCCACTGTATGTTCCTGCCAACTGATCTGCATTTTGTGACAGTCCAAGTTTCTGAATTCCCCATTCTGCCACCTGTGGGGAAAAAAATCAAGATCTTGACATCTATGTAAAATATTATGACTTTAATCCAGTCCATTATATGGGTTTATAGTTGGGACTCTCACAAAACAGCCTACCGCAATCTGGAACCAAAATTGCAATAATTTCCACAAGGGATAGTCATAATCTGGAGGACATCAGATTAGGGAAAATAGTCATAAAGGATGCTTCAATGGGAAGCTCATGTCCTTTAGTATTAGCAATCTCTGATACATATTATATACATGTTGAATTAATATCATATTCTGATAATATTCCAGAGGAAAAGGAGCCAGAGAAAGTCATAGTAGAAGAGAACAGAATGAAGCTTGGAGCTGAAAATTAGAAATAACTTTGAAGCACTTCCAAATGATATTCATACAGATATGCATCTCACACATGATTTTAGGGATGAGATTGCCAAAATCTAATGGGCTTTGAAATAATTTATGTCTTTATTCTGGACACCTATGATACCATGTAATGGTGCGCGCTATCTGAAGAAGTTGTTGATCCACCCACCAAGTCATAAATGGTGCCAAACCACAATGGGGAATTTCATGATCATGCTTGGCTAAAACCAGACAAACCACACAATGGCTTAATGCAGTGGTGAACCCAGCCTCTGAGAAAGATTTTACCATCTTGCTATGAGTGCTGAAAGAGTTCAGCCCATGCACTCCACACTGTCAGTTTCATGATGTTGGTTTGTAGTATACCTATACCTATACATACATATATATACATATATACCTTGAGTGTTTTTTGATGCACCCTGTTGGCCCAAATATGGGAGAAAGAAATCTTTCTTTCTTTTTCTTTTGCCTGTATCAGCTCAATCTAGAGCCATCCACAGGCAGCAGTCGCCAACTGCGACATCATTTGTATACATTTTTTTGGATTTCTAACAAAGAATAAGGGAGGATGGAATAGCTATTTCGAGCTTCTTAGCTCTCTTCAGCCAAACATACCCTTCTGAGATTCGAACCTGGGCTGCTTACATGTTGGGCAGCTGTGTTAACCTCTAGGCCACAGGCTCTTTCTCACTTTGTCAGCTGTATCAGGGAGGGAAGAGACAAGGGGAGGAGATTTACCTTGAGTGTTTTTTGATGCACCCTATCGGCCCAAATATGGGAGAAAGAAATCTTTCTTTCTTTTTCTTTTGCCTGTATCAGCTCAATCTAGAGCCATCCACAGGCAGCAGTCGCCAACTGTGACATCATTTGTATACATATTTTTGGATTGAGCTGATACAGGCAAAAGAAAAAGAAAGAAAGCTCAGGATGTTACAACACAGCCAACCACCCAGGATGTTGCAACACAAAACTCAGGATATCACTACACTAGATCTCAGGATGTAATCACACAACCCATTACCCAGGTCGTTATAACACAAAAGACTAATGGGCACACAGCCAGCACCTCAACTGCTCAGAATGTTACAAAACAGCCAACCAATCCACAAACAATGGCTCCCACACAGCCAACCAATCCACCTACAGCAACTAAGCCAGCACTCCACACACCCCCACCAGTATTTATAGAGAGATGGCAGCTCCGATCACACTTTGCTCGCACAGGCACAAAGCCGAAGACCCCAGCTTGAAGATGACGAGTGGGACCTCGTCGAAACGTCGCCAAGATACTCTCAATCTTACACGGGAAAAGACCCGAATACGCCAAGACCTGCATATATATATACTCATACACATATATAAGATTTTTACTCTAGCTGAAATGTATTGCCATAGCATTTACTGTCCTCACCCCAATCTGATGCAATACGAACATCATGTGGGTAACAGTTACCATGAATACACGGTACTATATCTTGAGCTATCCCCATTGCAAGCTTAAGCAAGAACAACTTCACTACTTTAAGTTTCACGTGTGCACACCCGATAATGTAAAGGCACTCTGTAAACTGAAGAAACTATTTTGTAGTTTGATTTCACCACGTGCAAGATTCCTACATAGAAATAGAAACAATAGCAGCACAGTGTGCAGAGCCAAGAAGATAGTACAATTTAGATACAGACTAATGCATATTTTTTCTTTAAAAATTTAATATGAATTAATACGATCTATTGTTCTAGCAGAAGCCATCTTTTTTTTTATAGGTATCTTTAGACGTAGCCCAAAACACACACACAGAAAATAAAGAATAATTATCCTTACCCTCTGAATTTCAGCTTCTGGGACACCACGCAGACGGGCATAGAGAAACAAATGTTCTCTTCCTGTTAGTAGTTCATCAATAGCATCAAATTGTGGGCAATAGCCCATGTTTTGATGAACATCCCAGATTTGGGTCAATATGCTAGCAAAACACTTTCACTGTTTTCCTTCTTTTGTTTTAGAAATGTCTCGGTCTAAATTAGTCATGTCATCGACATCTCTCTTTTTCAGAGGTCGATGCCATATTGTCATTAAATTATTTTATTATGGAACATTAATTTTCTAATTGTGTAATTCTTTGTCTAATTTTATTTAGGTCGATTTAGGGACAATTAATTTCGAACTGACTATATTCAAAATGGCCTTACATTAAAATAAAAATACAGATTAAAATATTATCTACTTCTACCATACGATGAAATAAAACAACTAAACATACACCTTCTAGAAATATTGTGGATACAGCACTTTGTTCTTGCATCAGCACAGAACGATATCCTTTGCAAACTATACAAAGTTGAGTGCATGCTAAATTTTAAAAATGGTATTCCTATTCATTATAATGTTTCAAATCCTCACTATAGACCAGACATGTCAAACTTGCGATGTCACGTGACGTCACGCGACGTATGGGGACGGTTTTGCAATTGCTGGCAATGGGATGGGCGCGGCTTCTGGATGATGCATCCGGCCCGCAGGCCGGCAGTTTGACACCCCTGCTATAGACTCATATCTGTGTAGACAGAACAGCCAATTTTAAGATCATATATTGACTATACACGGAGGTGCATGGAACGCCGTTACCTTCCCAAAGTGGTACCTATTTATCTACTTGCATGTGTGTGCTTTCAAACTGCTAGGTGGGCAGGATCTGGGGCAAATAACAGGAGCTCAGCCTGTTGCGCAGTGCTCAGGTCTTGAACCTGGGCCGTTATACAGAGAAATAAGCATTTACTTCATATCCCTAACAGAAAATAAAGACCAATTGTTGAGGGCAATGTGATGGCAATCACCAGATATAAAGTAAAATCTTTGGACTTAACTCTTCTAACATTTGTCAGGACTCACCTATTACCAACCACAACAGCATCTCCTGAGGTTACTTTAATATCTCCGGTCAGCATTTTGAATGTTGTTGTCTTACCAGCACCATTCACACCCAAGAGACCAAAGCACTAAATTATAATTTAAGACATGCTGGTTACTTCTAGAGTTTTACGGTAAAAGAAATAATTCAAAATACATTGCATAACTGAGGCATAACCCACCTCTCCCGGACGAACCCCAACACAGAGTCTGTCTACTGCTGGTACACGCCTTCCTGCGTATATCTAGAATAAGAATTTTTTCAACAGAAACCCTCATGTGAAGACAGTTGAAGGACATGTATTATTTAAAAAGATAAGCGGCTTTCTCCAACTAGGCAGTGACCAGATACAGTGGACTATGGCTGTTTTGCCCAGTCCCTATTGTCATGATCATGGCTAATTGACAGATAATAGAAACTGTATCCCAAAGCATTTGGATTGTACCAACTGGAGAAAACCAGCACAACAGAAAATAATATGTAAACAATCCACCAAGTTAAATATTCACTATTACAGATGGTCCTTGACTTATGACCAGTTATGATGGATCTCCGTAGGTGTATTTATGACCCAGTACCAAAGTTCTGGCAGCTGCCCCCTCTAGTCATGTTTTCAGCTGTTTGCAGTGTCCTGCAGTCACGTGACAGTGTTTTATGACTTTTTTGCCCCAAACTGGCATTTGCTTCTAGTTTTCAGCCAAACTGGCCTATAGTGAACAATTGGTTTGTTTAACAACCATGGCATACACTTAACAAATGCCACAAAAAAGCTTGTAAAATCAGATCTGTCACATGCTTTATAACTGCATGACTTATGACCTTAATGGGCAGGATTCACTGTCGTTGTAAGTCGAGGACTTCCTGTAATAGCAAGTCAAGATTAAAAAAACCACAACAACCTTATTTTATATATAGCTTCCATAACAGAGTATTACAGATATGGCTTCCAGAATAGTGATTTTTCATATAATATATATGCAATGATACATTTATGTAATGATATATAAATAGAGAGCCAGTTTGGTGAAGTGGTTAAGGCACCAGGTTAGAAACCAGGAGACTGAATTCTAGTCCTGCCACAGATGCAAAGCCAGCTGAGTTACCTTGGGCCAGTCACTCTTTCTCAGCCCTAGGAAGGAGGCAATGGCTTTGCCAAGAAAACTGTTGAACTTCTACAGGCAGTCTCCGAGAATCAGACACAACAGAATGAAGAAATATATTAAATCCCTGCAATATATATATATATATTGACCTGCTTTACAACTGTCACGATTTATGACCATAATGTCAGGCTCCATTATGGTCATATGTTGAGGACTACCTGTAGTGCCTAACTGGATTGAGATGCTATCTGTATTTTATAAATACATACATACCAATCTTGTAATGTTAATAAGTGACAACTCTACAACTCAAGAGAAAATAAAACTAATAGGCCGGTCAGCATCAAACTCAGGAGAAAAACAGATGAGGGAGAAAACTTTGCTTCTTCTTGATGTCTAGCAGCAAAATGTCCGGGTCATCCATGAAGTGCCTCAAACAAGCAGGTATTTCTTAAATGCTTATTTTCTTTTCCAAGACAAAGCTAAAGGACACAAATGTTTTAGAATAACTCCTGAAAAATTACCTTAGTCAATTCCTGCAATTTCAATATATAGTTTTGGCTCTCTCCTTTCATTATTCGCTTCCTTTCTTCTGCAACTTCCTCGTCTTCTTCCACAATAGGCCCCAGAGTATTTTGGATAAACCTAAAGAACTCAGAATAAGTGAATTGTAATTCAGCTTGTGCTTGAAAAGCAGCCTATATTAATCCCATTTTCATGGTGGATGTACGCACGGGCACCTCCCACCCCAACGATATTCACTAACCCTCAGCACAACACCTCTGAAGCCAAGGGTTTTTCCACGTACCATCTTGTAGATAAGAAACTATGTTGTAGAAGAAGATTCAGAATGAAATAGATCACACCCTGCACGACTAGGGCTAGCATGTGTTTTCCAGCAAAATCCCAGCGCAACGGATTCAAGACACGGTCTTCTCCTTTAGAATGAAACCAACAAAAATAAGTTTGAATGACACAACAATAAAATATCGTTTTTCAGAAACAGAGAACTTCCCCCTCATGTCACCAGTAATTCAGATCCAATATGTGCAATTGGAGATGTGGAACCGAAAGACTTAGCCGGTCACACACTGCTGCTTTAAGTTTATATACTTCTCTGTACCATCAAGGTGTGTCAGATAAAAGTTTTTTTGTTTGTTTTTGATATGCAAATGTCAAATTGATATTTGAATGTGTTATTTTTTTTACATTTTAGTTGGATCTTAAAGAACCATTTCTTCTGGTTCTCCTCTTTATCTGTCTTGCCAGTCTTTTTGATGTGCGTCCAATGGTCTAGAACAGGCTGCCAGGACCAAAGCAGGAGAGAAGATTGGGAAAGGAGGTGGGTAGACGACCAAACTGTGGAACATCATCTCTGGGCATTTATCTCTGGGGCTGGATATTGCCAGCTAAAAGGATGCTTATTTATGAGTTATCTCAGGACCAGATTTNTTTATCTGTCTTGCCAGTCTTTTTGATGTGCGTCCAATGGTCTAGAACAGGCTGCCAGGACCAAAGCAGGAGAGAAGATTGGGAAAGGAGGTGGGTAGACGACCAAACTGTGGAACATCATCTCTGGGCATTTATCTCTGGGGCTGGATATTGCCAGCTAAAAGGATGCTTATTTATGAGTTATCTCAGGACCAGATTTAGGTCTGTCCATCTGTTCAGAACTCTGAGGAGCTGTTTCACTCCAATGGGATGGGCCCATCTCACTTGCTCCAGCAGAAGCACCAGTGGTGGGATTCAAATATCTGAACAACTGGTTCTCTGCGTGGATGCAGGCCTGGGCATCCAAGGCCTAAAACGGACTTCCGGAAGTGGCATCTATGCACTTCTGGTGGGCCATTCTAGGCCTGGGAGGCCTTCTTCAGGCCTCCGAGGCCTAGAACGGACTTCCAGAAGTGACATTCACGCACTTCCGGCGGGCTGTTCTAAGCCTGGGAGGCATCCTCCAGCCGGTTCTCCAAACTCAAAAAATTTTAGCTACCAGTTCTACTGAACTGGTGTGAACTGGCTGAGTCTCACCACTGAGAAACACCCCATGTTGTATCTGTCTGCCAGAGAATTTCAGCTCCAAAAGAGTCTTTTCTGCTATGGCTCCCACTCTCTGTAGCATTCTCTTGCTGGAGCTGAGACCTGCCCCTCCCACCCACACACATACTCCTGGCTTTCCAGAATAGCCTTAAAACCTGGTTCCGCTGGCTGACCTGGTCTCCCAATAGGGGCACCCTATGTTTGGGGTGGTTAATAGGGAGAAGATCTTCATCCTTATGTCATTTGTTCTCTTGGTACTTAGTTTCATACGTAATCCTATTGATTTTAATCATTTTGCATTCTCTTGTTTTACTTCTTTATCATATTGTAAGTTGCCCAGAGTCACTATACCAGTGAGATGGGCAGCATATAAGTTTAATAAATAAAGATTCGCCTCTTCTTTTAGGGAGAGCAATTGGTTGTTGTTTTTCCTACTGACAAGGGACACTAGAGAAATCAGACACTTTCTTTAAGTTATCCTGTGTGAATCTATGAAGACAGTGCCAGTTGATGGCCTCATTACTGAGGCAAAGTCACGCTCAGCAATGAAGGCAGAGAACGCCGCATAATTTTGTGCCAACTCATGGACTGCAGGAAAAGAAATTAACATGGAAAAAGAACCCTAAGACAAGGGTCTTTATGTAGCTAGCTTTGAATATTTTATTTCTTGATCAAGATAGGGATTAAGTTGATGAGGATGTTAATGCATCCTTAAGCTGGGGGGGGGATTCATTGGAGCATTGCCTTCAGCTGACAGTCCTGGGAAGAAAAATAAAACTGTATACTTAAGCAAGCCTCTGATATTCTACAATCTCTTTCTATTTTTAGCTATCTGATGTCAAGAATGTTTTATGTTTAGTGTTAAAGGGCTCTTGTATATGTCATGATTGCAGGTATGAAAGAAGTTGTGCAAATTTGCCAGCTTAGTAACACTACAGAGCTTGCATCTCTCTCTCTCTCTCTCTAACAATTCAGGAAATATCCAAGCACAATTCTGCAATATTTCTTTCAGAGTTGCTGACCAAGTAATTTCCCATTGAGGGGAAATATTGCTATGGTCAGTTTCATCTCCCGGCTTTTCTTCCCTAACCCCTCCCTTTGGCACTATTTGCTCCAAGGGCCAACTTGGTCACACATCCTGTAAAATAGCTTGTTGTGGGGACTTCTGTTTTTTTCTACAAGAAAAAAACAAACACAGTTAGGGAATAATCACAACAGGATGGTGGGACTCTCTCCCAGATAGAGGCAGCAACAGGGTTCAAAACAGACAGTTCAACAGGCAAGGCCGATGGCTGGGTGAAGATGTTTTCCTTCCTTGGTCAAAGCATGGATAAAGTGCAGAAGATTCAGCCTAGCACAAGCTCATAGTTGGCTTCAATATAGTGCAACCTAGAGCAGTGGTTCTCAACCTTTTTAATGCCGCGACCCCAACCGGTCGTAAGTCGAGGACTAAACTGGTCGTAAGTTGAGGACTAAACCAGTCGTAAGTCAAGGACTACCCAACCGGTCGTAAGTCGAGGACTTTCCCTGCCCGGGAGCGCCGCACATGCGTGTTCCACCCCCTGCGCCGGCCGAGGCATAGCTGGCAAGCGGCAGAGACGGAGCAGGCCGACCACCAGCTGGCCCAGCCCAAGGGAGGTAAGGCACCCGCTGGAAAAGGGGAAAAAAATGGCGGACAAAAAAAATGGCGGACAAAAAAATGGCGGACAGCCTTGCTTGGCGACCCCCATGAAATGGTCGATCGACCCCAAATGGGGTCCCGACCCACAGGTTGAGAACCACTGACCTAGAGCAATCTCCCATTGTTTGATACTTACCAAAACGTGCATAGACATCAATCACAGCTTGGTTTATGGCTAAGTCGAGGAGTCCACGACCCAAGCAGAAATGAGGAAAGATCAAAAATGCTTTTTTTAATGTTTTGTTGAATTCTAGGAGAGGCTGAAAAAAGAAACACAGATGCTAGTCTTGCACAGGTTCACAAGGATCCTGCCTAACTTAGAAATGAAATGGTTCAGTTTAGAATGAGAGGCCAGATGTCAGGTGCAAAAGACCAAGACCACATGTGAAGTTCCAATTAAACTGATTTATTACTACTCATGCCTATGCACAGGAATCTAATCAATTAACGGTTACCACTATTTTGGCGCTAGATAAGGTTCAGCTGAATTTAAGAGGGGTTGGAATTAGTCCATTGGTGGCTACATAGTGACACTGGGCTGACTCCTCTTTTAACTCTAACCCCGCCCCCCAGGTTTTACCATTCCTTCTCCTACACCAGATTCCTGGTATACATTCTGATGAATAACATCTTTTACTATGAAGATGTGACAGTAGGAAATCAGAAGGGTTTTTTTTTCTTGAGAAAAGGAACATTATAGTACCTATAAAAGAAATTTCCTCATTTCTGCAACATCTCTATATCATTTTCCAGAATATCTGATTACCTTATGTTGGAACATTTAGATATAGTGCAAAGGTTCATGAATACCAAATGTTTTCTGACACTCTCCATTGCAGAGGTTGCTCCTTTTAAACTCTCATTATCTCTTAAAGCGTAGGAAGCATATATTTAATCATACCCTGACATAATGGAGCATAGCTAAAGTATGGTATTTTCATTACCATCTAGCCTAAGAAAAGTCACTCACCGCATTATTTTCAAAGAGGTCCAGAATAAATGTAATAGCACTAGTGTTAATACCAATGAAGAGATTAACGCAAGACAAGAAAACATAGGCAGTGCTGGGGACGCTAAAATAGCAGGAGGCAGGGTACATCATAGGAATTATGGCCCATCTGCATACAGAACAACGAGAAACAAAAGTGGAATGATTCAATTAATCAAAATATACAGCCATAAACCCCCCTCCCCAAAGGTGGTATAATGAACAATAAATTGATTCAATGGTGAATGAAAGATGGCCACGTTGTTACAGACTCTCTTTTGATAAAACATAAAAAAGACCATTTTGTTTTTTCTGTGCATAAAGATTCCTCCTTTATTATTCAGGCCAGCTGGCAAGGAACATTTTGAAACCATTAAAAAAGTCAGAAACTTTACGAAAAGGGCTATTTATTCCTTTATTTATAAATTTATTCAGTTTATACGGTTGCTCATTTGCCATGTGACTTTGGGCAGCTAGCTAAAAGCTAAAAAAACCAACAATATAACAGAGCAATTAAAACATGTCACACGAGTCAGCTCATATATCCATAACTAATAAAACTTATTATCAACTGGCCACATAAATTACTTGAAGCCGGCTCACCTAACTTCCTGAACCAGTGCTTAGAAGAAGAGCACTGGTCTTCAATGCCTTATCAAAAACAGTAGAGCTGGGCTTATCTGGTTATCATGTTATTCCATAGATTACAGCAGTGGTGGCGAACCTATGGCATGGGTGCCAGAGGCGGCTCTCGGAGCCCTCTCTGTGGGCACACACACCGTCTCCCCAGCTCTGTCTCCTCCCATGGCCCCCTCCTCACCAGCAGCCCTCCCGGAGGAGAGTCGCCCCTGGGCATGGCCCACGCGAAGCAGCACAGCCAAGAACATGGTAGCCGGGCAGCGGGGACAAGACTCTGCCCTTGCGCCCCGTCGTGCGCAGATGATACTGCAGGGCATGGGCAGAGGGCGTGGCCGCCATGGCGCTGCTGGGCTGCCTGGGTGATCTGTGGCGGGCCGTGGAGGTGGTGGGTGGCCCAGTGGAAAGGGCGGAGCAGGGACGGGATGGGGGGCAGTTTTGGGGCACTCGGTCTCTAAAAGGTTCGCCATCACTGGGTTACAGTGTCAAAGAAAGCCTACTTCTTGGGTCCCATCAGATGACACTGTTTAACAGAATGTATCCAGAGTACACCAGCCCTGGCAAATTACGTGGGATGGGCACACATAATTGAAGACAAACAGCAAATGACCCAGCATTGTCCCATGAAGGGTTTTATAGATGACAACTAATACCTTGAACTGCCTATAGAAACTAAGAAATAGTATAGCTTGCTAAATAGTAATGCCATATGGTATAACAAGATGCTCCCTTAACCACCTCTATCATAATATTCAGTGTAGCTGCTAAATAAACTGGAATTTGGTATTAGGCATGACTACCCAGAAAGTGCTGTAAAGCATTAAGGGGCAGTATGTAAGTCTAAGTGCTATTGGGTATGCAGAATTTATTGAATAATGCAGTTGAGAGATGGCCAAGGCATGAATAACTGTAAGCAATGCCTCCTGATCTACAAATGGTCACAACCAATGCACAAAATGGTTTTGCGCAGGAACTAAGAGTCTCTAGAGGATCCCCATGTTGCATACCGATTTAGTATGGGGAAGTGGCACCCCAATCAGAAGTAATGAAAAAGAAGACCCCAGAGTGGGTCTTTAACAGGTGAACCTAAGCCTGTTCTTTCCCATCCAGATCTCTACAGCTTCCAGTCAACGAGAGAAACCCTTGATAGCATTTTATTTATTTATTTATTTATCACAACTTATATGCCGCCCTTCTCCCCATGGGACTCAGGGCGGCTCACAGCATGTTAAAACAATATAAAACATTTCCCCTCTAAAAGCCAATTAAAAACCAAATATTTGTTGCTGTGTCTTGATAAAATCCTTAAAATTGTCCCTATTTAAAATTCACCCTAGGTCAGACCCGCTTGCTGAAAAAGCCAT